ACCTACCCGTTTCTACCTTACCGGTTAGTTCTGATCGCAACTATATCGTGTAGACGACACATAAAGAAGAGAAAAAAATGGGAGTTTCAGGTCTCTATAAGCCGTTTCGCAACCCCTACACGTTAGTTCACACCAAATTCGCTTCACCTTTGTGAGTACATCAATCTTCTACTCTGTTAATCTGATCCCCATAATATTGAGCTCTAATACCAATTTGATACAATCTAACATCAAAATTAAAACGCCATTCCCCAGAAATTAAGACACACACAAATTTTATTGTAATAATTCAAACAACTCAACAAAAACACAAAGATAAACACCTACATTTTGAGAGGGAGGCAGTCTCTCACAATTCCTACAATTCGAGAGGTAGGAAATCTCTCTCAAACCCAAGACATAAGACTCACAACTCAATCTCATGCATAAACATAACCCTAGACATAACAAACATATTTATCCCCAATAATAATAATAATAAAATACTAAATTGCCCTTAGGCGTATATCATATGTAGTTCCTTCCCTTGTTGTGGTAATAGTCCCTCAGAGCTAGAAAGCAATTTAGCTTTTGTTTTCAACTTTTCGACCACTGGCATGTGCCCGAAAGTGGACTGATTTGATGGAACCACCCAAATCATTGGTAGTGATGTGTATTGGGGTCCTCCTACCCAATTTATGCTACTTTTCAACCTTCACAGCTAAGTTAATCACGTCTAGTAATGTTCAGAATGATTGGTGTTAAACCACATTAGCAATAAATGGTCATAAATCACCCAAAAAATGCAATAGTGTGCTCTTCGGTTGGAAAAGATTGCACTTTAGCGCCACTATTTGAATTTAGAGATACATTCCTCCACGGAAATTTCTTGTTGCTAAAGTTTGTAAAGTCGAATGAAGACTTCTTGCCAGTAATGCTTGGGCAAGAATTTCCGTTGCATTTTTTTCTTCATTTTGGTCCAAGACATGACCTTGGATCTTCCCTCTCTTTGTTGAACCCTCTTCAAGTTTTCCCACCAAAATAAGGCATTCATCTACAATTTACAAGTTGATCACCGCTAGTTTTATGATATGTTCTAGTGACATTTCCTTGAATTCCAAAGTTCATTCAACTATATGTAGCCAATTGAAAAATTTATCGGGATCCAATCCTCCATTAAAATTAGGAGGGTTACCATCGACTTTCATGTCTCAACGTATATAAAGTTGTTCATCACTACAAGATGTCCCTTGATAGAATGGATTATCTTTTTCCCCGCCGGTCACCTCATTTTAAAATTCAATTTGACATTCTTCCTGGTCTTGTTGTTCAAAAAGCACCTATCTTGTTTGCAGATAATAAATTTATTGTTGCAATTCTTTCCCGACCAAATCGCCGACTAAACGGACATTGTTCCTCCTTGGTGGCATCTTCAATTGCTTTTAGTCACCGGAAAAGGGAAAAATAACGACTAAACCTGGAGGAGAAAGGAAGACAATGACAACTACAAGCCTCTCAAAGATCTGCACGATTCTTACATAGCAATCTGCTGCAAAATCTGACCGCAAGCCTTCCCAAGATTCTAGGACAGAAATTCAAATAGCAGAGAAACCAACAGCAAGGACAGACGAAACCAGTGACAGGGACAAATGAAACTCAGGTGAGAATGGAAACGGGGTGTAAGGGCAGAACAAGCTTGATTATGTCTTAGCTCTCACTGTGGAGAACTTCCTGGAGCGTAGACTGCAAACTTAGGTCTTCTAGTCTAGAGTGGCCAAGACAAGAAGAAAGGAAAACAGTGGGGCGTGTACAAAATAAAAGAATGAAGAGAAGAAATGTGCAAGAACTGTGCTTTGATACCGTAATGATACTGTAACAAGGCAAAATTAAATGGAAGATGATTGATCACCAGCTAAGTGTCACTCTAGGATACTGACAGGAAGGATACGGGAAAAGTTATTGCAATCAATCAAAACTCTCCCCCCTTGTAACATACAAGGCAAGCTTATATGGACAAGCCCTCAATAAAATAGAAAACTAAAAGTATGAAACCCTACTCAAAACACAGCAATTTCAGCTCTTGCGTCAAAATGAACACAGGGTAACATGACATCACTAAACTAAATTCAAATTAATGATTATCTGGTATAATCATTAGCTCAACTCAGTTTAAGTTGGACAAAAAAAAGATCCATCATTCAACCGAAAAATTAAAAACAACTCAAAATGCCAGTTCACAAAAAATCACATAAAGCTCCCATTGTGAATTCTAAACTCGTTATAACTGTCAATAGTTCCGGCTTAGCATCAATGATCCCTCTGCACCTGGCATTAAAAAACTTAGTGCAATGTAGTATGTCAATGGAATAGGTTGGGCAAACTAGCCCATCACTCTGACTTCTCCAAGAAGAATAGTAAGTCATGGAATATGAGCCCTCCTCAATTATGAAAACAAATGCCTTGCTTCAAGGATAGAGTTGATCTCAAGTCCAACTACAATGGTACGACCCTATAATGTTCAGCTGTGAATGTTCATGATTAGTTGACTTGGAGGCTTTAAAATAATTGACTAATTCAAATCACCCCTTCAACATGTTTAAATTTTCCAAAGAAAGCCCTTGTAGGAGAATGTCTCCTCCTTTCATCACCAAGTTCAAATAAACTCGAGAAAGAAGTTTTGAGTTCAAGAATTCTTTTCATAGAGAGAGAGAGAGCAATCTCTAAGGAATATTTGACGAGAGAAAGAGAAATCAAGCAACAAAAAATACTGAGAAAGAGAGAACACCAAGAATTGTTAGTGTTTATTAAACCGCAAAGCAGATTACGGTGATGGGATTTCACAAAGCAAGTCATGACACGAGAAACTAGAGGAAGAATTTATAATCAATCGACCAATAAGAAGGAAGATGAATGCTCTAATATACAAGCTCCAAAAGAAATTTGTATAAGATGAGTGAGAAGGGAAGGAGTGACCAAGCTGTCCTCCAATCGAGATGAATGCTGCCCAATCATGCCAAGGAATTATGCAATCGATCTCCTAGCTTGCCAGTCAATTTCATAACCCACTACCACTTCAAATCTTTTCCTTTTTTTACAGAACTATGAAGTTTATTCATTATTCCTTGAGGTGTACCCACTAAGTGGCATTGTTAGTGGAGCATGAAATGATTATAGAATCTGCTATTAAAAGGGGGGAATCATCGGATGCATGTCTTTGTGCCTGACAGAATGTCATAAATGCTGAAGGAAAGATTGTAGGGGATAAGAACTGACAGGGAAATGTTAGCAGAGAGAATCACAAAGATACATAAAAATGTGATAGCACAATGAATATTCATCAATTGAGTGACCGCTTTAATTCTAATCATCTCAGTTGAAATTGTTTGCTTCAACTCAAGGTGGCTTACTCAAAATAGTTATTGCTCGTGACAATCAAAGCGTCTTAATTACAGCGAATTTGATACTTCACAAATTCAAACAAATTTGAAATATACCACAAATAAAATATATCATGAGTTTGGTATTCTTTGAAATTAAACCGCTATAGAAAATGCATCAAAAAGTGGTGGCAAAATGGACGACCAATTCTGTATGGTGTTTTTTTGTCATTATAAACGACGGCTTTCCAAAAGTCGAGATAACTGACGGCTTTCCTACAGAGATAACCGTCAGTTTTTAGCAAATTAATAGCTAATGGTCCTTAACTATTAATTGACAGTCAAAGTTGTAGGTTATTAGAAAACTATAAATCTACGGTCATTGACACTTAGATGTCTTGATCATGGGTTTTTATCCAATTAATAACCAGCGGTCAAAACTGTCGGCGATTAAGAAGTTAAAAATTGACATTCAATGATTGTTGGAAATCCATCGAAAAGAATGAATGCACACTTTTGACATTGTTCAAGCCTCCTTAAGAATCCCCCGACATCATTTTGAAGTGTAGATGAACAATATCCTTGCTGCTATGCTCGATGTGCCAACGTCTTCCGCCCCCGCCACCCCCGAACTGACTTCTGTACATCCCTGAATATACCTTCTGAAGGACATCCTCAGCCTCGTCTTCTTTGATTCATCTCAGATTGACAAAGCATTAGAAATTTGCAATAAGTCTTGAAATCTTTCAAACTACTCAATAAGCCCATGCCCAAATATTAACCTAAGGTCACTCAACGTAATTCTAGGATTTTAATCCAAATATGTCAACCTAGTTCTATACCTTGGCTCGATCTGTCAATAAGGATCACTTAGTTGATGTTGACTCCTTGATTGATGAAAAATTCAATGATGCAGAGAATACTAAACTCCTTTTCCAATGTCTCTCTTTAAGAAAATCATTTAAATATTTCAACTAAAACAAGACATTCATGAGACAATGACGATGCCAATTTAGCGTTAACAGTTCTCATTGCTGGTTCTCCTTCCAACAGATCGGCTCACCCAGATGGTCCAATTGATAATCCCTCATTTGGCCGAGAGAGGGACTCGACTCTTCTGTAAGTGGATCCATTCGTCGTCATGCTGAAGATTTTTTTAAGGCGAATTAGTTCTTCTGCTCTAAGATTGATTCAGAGAGTTGTTCTTATCTCCTATATGATTTGTGATTTGTGTTTGACTTCTTTATCCCCAATCAATCTACTACATTATTAAATAAAAACAATAAAATTAATCTATTCACAAGCAAACAAGCTCCAGCTACGGTATCTCCCACCCCCTGCCTCAAAATGTTTGAGATATTCAACAGCGTAAGAAAGAGCAGCAACAAAAAGTTGAACAAATTGTGCAATAATCGGATTTAAAGCTATTTTTTATTCAGTTCCATGAGCATTTGAGGAAGTGCAAACATAATTGAGAAAAAGTTCCAAGATCTTAATCACCATAATTTGTAAATTAAAAGCAGAAAACACAAACCTTCAGCCCTAAAAAGATAGTAAATCTTCTAAGGAATGTTGGATTCTACAAAGAACAGGATGCTTGTGAGAAAGAAGAAACGATTGTGGATTCAGAGAGACAGAAATAACCTCCAGAAGAGCTTCAGAGAGAAGAATGGAGGTACCGGAGCCGGTCTTCTATCTCCCAGATCCAGAAAAATGGAAGTTGAATGGTTAGGGCTGCAGGGTGCGCAGGACCGCTTTCATGGCAAAAGAACGTGGGCAATCACAGATCGACCCACACCAAATTTGCTATTCATAAATCAAAGACGCTCTTTTCATTCAATTTTTATGATTCCAAGTTTCCAATCCCATTATCAAAATTTATGGTATAATCCCAACTAGGGTTTTCCGCTCGTTGTTATCAAATTATCTTTTAGCTATTATTTGATTTGTTCGCTAAATGGACGAGCATAACATAAATAAATTTTTTGAAAAATAAATGAGTTGTACATGAATAATTGAATTTTTTAATGACTCGAGCGTGAGTTATCGGCTCGTTTACACTCTTAATCTTGGGAAAAATTTACGTACGTGACAGATACGCAGGGCTGCGTACATTTCAGTTATAGGAAGGTTACAAAGAGGTTATATGGAGGTTACATCTGTGTTATACTCATGTTACCACCATGTAACTTCTCTGTAACCTCCCTATAACCCCAAAATATACGCAGTCTTGCGTACTTATTATGCACGCAAAATTTTCCCCTTAATCTAAGCCCATATTTTTTTAACTTCTATCAAATTATCAATAGTTTGAACGTGCACGTGTAAATACATAATTGAATGCTCAAAAAAATATTCATGGGAGAGGTTAATTTATAAATATCAATATTTTGGATTATGTGTATATAATTATCTCAGCAAAGAGGAAGATTTACATGCTTGCCACTCAATTCCTAGGTATTTGCATTTCTAACACTCAATAGTTCAAATTTACATAAATACCAAGTGCATTCAAACTTGTTGAGAAATTAGGGCAAAGAAAAACAGGAATCTACACAAATCCAAAAGAACACGCGGAGATTTATGAGGTTCGACAAAGATGCCTACATTCTCGGGAGCAGAGCGGCGGCTTCATTTTCAATATTCAGAAAAGAGTATAAAATACAAGATTCAGAATCACAGAAGCTCAGAGAGTCTTCTAAGGTTACAAACAGAACATATATATAATCCTATAAGACAATATGTAATTATTTAAATTACATATGTAATTATAATTACCTCTGTACCAAACCGCAGGGTGTTGCCCCCGCACCCCCAACCCACATAATAAACTCCCCCGATTAGACAGATCCTTCGGCTCCACTCCGCTCGTGGGCTCCGCTCCAGCATCTGTCCCATTTTTGGTATATGAGCCATACCAAATAAATCTTTTTTTTTATTATTTCTGAAGTTAAAAAGATGCATTTTTATGTAATATGAATGATTTGGGCGGTATAGATGTAATAGGCAAAGTTTGTGTGTTAGATATGTAATTACATAGACATTGGGTGGTATGCATAAAACAAAAGAGAGGCATTTACCTATATATCTTTTTTTATATGTATATCACTAAAATGTTTTATATCGCTATTGTTCGATGTCTTCTGTCATGATCGGACAGAGTGGTCAACTCTTTTTTGTTGACTTTGTCGTGAATCATTTTTCATTCGGCTCTAGTCTTGCAGGACTCGTGTCCCGCATGTCTGGTTGGTTCATCACCTGGACCAGATCTCCCAATATCGCAAGGTCTTAGGCGATCTTCTTGCAGCCTGTGCGGGATATTCGACGAAACTTATTATCAGGATGATTTATGCCTCATTTTCGGTGGGTCTTGACGCTACCGAGTAGGAAATCATCTCCATAACTTTAAACTATCTCGAATTTGGAGACGCGACTCCATCAATTTACTTGTTCGCACTTTTTGAGACTAGTGCGGGCATTTTTTATGCATACAAAATTTTTAAATTATATGCTTAGTATAGAAGTTTTCCCATGATATAACGAACAAACTAATTTCATCTTCATTAATTTGACCAACTGGGATGACGTTCCCAGTGACATGAGAATCATGGCGCACGTGACATCAAATAAATTTTCTTAATACGCCGCAATCATGAACATTGATGCACTTTTAAATTCATCAATTTCCATTCTTCTCCGGCTGGACGGTTAGATTCCGCGCTGATCTAAGTTCTCGTACTGACAAGAGCTCGAAGAATAGAATCCTGAGTCGGGAGCCATCTATAAATTGTTCTTCTCCCCCTTGAAATGCAGGGGTGCAAAGTAGCTACAGGGGAGACAGAGGAGCAGCGGCGGAGGAAACCCTACGCGTCGGTGCGAGTATTCTAAGCTATTTTGATCGTCGATTTGTATCTGTGGTTTTGTTCTGTTTTTACAATTGATACTAGATTCGTGATTTCAAAGCAGCGATGAGAGAATTGAATATTGTCTGGATTAAGTTGATGTAGATGTTGATTCTGGATTTCGTTTTGGAATGAAGCTTTTGATGTCATGACATTTTTTATGCTGGATCTGGTTGCTTTTAGTTTAAGCTTTTGTATAGATTCATTGTCGTCTCTTTTCTAGGTTTATCTCTGGGGTGACAATTTGGAAAATGTATAGGAGGAATTGCGTACTGGTGGTTTTGGATTGGAGCAATGAGAAGTTCGCTCCAGCTTTAACGCCGCCGTTATTTGATAAAGATTCAGGTTAGCTTCCATGAAGCTCGTGATTGAATTATTTCTCCTGTATTTTCATTCTTTATGGAAATAATCTCTTTTAGTTCTGTAATTTTAAGCTAACGATTCTGATGCTTGTGCTGAACTGTTTTTATCCTCGTTTAATTTCATTGATCTGGGTTACGCCATTAGCACAATCCAAAAAACAGAGTATCGGCAGGCAACTTGAATGTTAATTGTTCGTTGTTTTCCCAAAAAAATTATACTAGGTTTTATAGTTTCATGGACATGCCGGTAAGCATTAATTTAGGAAATTTAGATACAGAAATGGGAAGAAATTGTTTTTCCCATAAAAAAAGTACAAGGTTTTATAGCCATGTTATGTTTAATAGTTGTCTGTTAATGGGAACTTACTGAATGATCCTGATTCTCAGAAGATGAAGAGAGCAGAGCATCACCTGTTCCTCCAAACAAATCTCAGGTACTCTTTTTTTTTTCCTTAGCAGAGCTTGATTTTCGCATTTGGGAGAATTTCATTCTTATTTTGAAATAATTCCGCTATAGTGAATCAATGATTACAAAAGTTGCCTTTTTTTTATTCTGCAATATGGCTGATGAATACGGAACATTGGGCCTTCCAGATATCATCGACCAATGAATTCAATTTTTTCATTCTTGCGCAGTCTTTTACTGGCAAGGAACAGGTGGTGCAGGCTGTGGCTGAAGTGGAGGAGGAACAACCGCCATTAATCAGCGCAAGCATTCAGGATTCGAGCATCGCTTCTATATCAGGCCCGGATGCATATATTGAGATAAATGACCTTCTGGATCCGAACCCACCTTCATCCACTTCAGACAATGAAAGCTTCACTTATGAGGATTTTGATGACTATCGGTATTAAAAAAAGAATAATTTTTTAAATCAACAAGGTTGGCATGTTAGCAGGTCCATGAACCCGTCATCCCAAGCTACTAATAACCTAAGTTTACTTTGTCGTGAAATTAGTCGAGTCAACGGATCTATAGATCGCCGGTAAACAATCTGTGAATTGTTTCATTCATGAGAACCTCAGTAGCCCTAAGTTTAAAGAAATGAAACTCTATCATATGACTATCAAGATGAGCTCCAAGTGTGGAGACTTATACCCTCCAAAGTGACAAGCATGTCGCTGGAATGAGGAGAAAGTGAGGTTCTGCTATAAAACTGGAAACCCTCCTTACAAAATGACTTACCCTATGTGGGTCGGGGATAGGGCTGTCAAAATGGCTCGTTGTTCGTGAACAGCTTGTGTTCTGCTCGTTAAGAAGCTCGTGTTCGGCTCGTTAATTTCGTTTGATAAGTTAACGAGCCGAACATGAACTAAGATGTGTTCGTTCGTGTTCGGCTTGTTTTGACTCGAAATACTACTCATGAAGTTTATATATATATATATATATATATATATATATATAAAATAATATAAAA